CTTTAGTCTCTTTTTACCCCAAATAGTCCCCTGCCACCATACCACACCCTGCTTTCTTTCATGACATTAAAATTTTTTAAGTCTAGGTCACTTGCTAACCTGTTTGTTTTCAAGCGTGTACTACCATGCTTAATTTTGCAGGCTCCTATTACAAAATTATTACATGTTTTTAGAAGCACATGTATTAGCAACTGTAACAAATTATCATTTGTGGCTATTGGTTAATCAGTGCAAGACACTGGATTTCCAGTGGGGCACCAGATGTTTTTACCGAGGCAGTGGGGGAAGCAATAAGAGCTTTTAAATCTTACATTATTACTTTGATCATATAAAAAATAACAGTGACATTTCATTCTCTGAAATGCATTGCAAGGGTTTTCCTTCATATTGACATGATATTTTATTCAATGAATTAGTCAGTATAGAAACAGTTTAAAAGAAAGTGCAGTGACAGCCAAGAAGGATATTTTGAAGTTTGAAATGATCCCTATATAAATAGAACGGATCAGCATAACTTTGGGATAAAATTAGCTGACGGTTTGTGGGCTCTCCAGCATGTGCCTGTTTGCTTGGTGCTGCTCTCCTGATAAATCACAACAAAGCTTCCAGAGGGAGAGGAAGGATGGACAGCACGGCTGCCCCTGTCACTAAATCTGCAGCTGCCAAGTTAGTTAAGAGAAATTTCCTTGAGGCTCTAAAGTCAAATGACTTCGGAAAATTGAAGGCCATTTTAATCCAAAGGCAAATAGATGTGGACACAGTTTTTGAAGTTGAAGATGAGAATATGGTTTTGGCATCTTATAAACAAGGTAAAAATTATAGGTGTAATTGTAAAATCGATAGAAGATGGATTTTTGTTTAATGCACAGCATTAGTCACCCAATCTGAACTGGTAACTCTTATTATTTAAGTATGTATTTTAAAAATATTTCTAACTTAATCATTTTTTCTTTTTAAACTAGACTAAATCATGGACTGATATACATATATATAAATATATTTCTTTTCTTTTCTTTCCTTTTCTTTTCTTTCCTTTCAGTATCCCTGTGCCTGAAATTTGAAATCCTGGATAATTATATTTAGAAATTTAATTTTCTCCTATTTCTAACTTTTCTTCTGCCTATAAGAACATAGAATAAGGGAAACATCCCTAGATTATGGCTAAATAGACTGCTGAGATCTAATCTAGACAGTATGACTGGCTTGGGAACAGGCTGCTCTGTGAACGTGGTCACTTAAAGATATATCATCTCTGTGTCCATATGCATGAAAAAGAGGATTTTTGCTCCTATTTGGCAGTTAATAAATGGTAAGGCTGTACCTTGATGCACCTTGATGATCCTTGTCATTTTAATGAGTTTTCAGTTCAGGCAGAAAAGCTGAAACCAGAAACCTTTTTCCTTGACTACAATGTCAGATCAAAATTAACTTAACTCAGAGTATCTGCCTTATGAAGAATTAAGCATACCAAAAATTAGAACCAATTTTTTTTATCAAGGGATTTTCTGGAACCCATGCTTAATAAATCAGAAATAAATTAGAAGCGAGCAGATTCTGATTTCCCAAATCAGCTAGTTAATGGGGGAATTTGAGTAGCGAGGCCATCTGGTGAGCGGACTGCAAACAAACACCATGTTCAACATCACTTCTGTTTAAACAAAATAGATGATAAGGTCTTGTGTACAGCATTGAGAGAGAGAGAGCGATTCTTCTGTCAGGTTTAAAATACTTTCCATTTGTATATAAATCATCAGTACCATCAGTTTTCAGAGATGAATGCTAATGATATATATTTCTACATTAATTTTATACTCTGTCAATTCTGAAGGAAGGATAGAATAGTTGAGGTCAGTTACTGTGTTTATGATTTTTACTTGAGTGTTTTATTACAGATTGGTGTTGCTATTTTGACTGGAAGATAAAGAAGAGGCCTGTTTTTAAAAAGTAGTTGGTGGAGGCTCTGTTAAAAAGAAAGTATGTATACCATATGATTAGATTACTTCCATCTTACAGACTTGTTCAGTAAAAGACTGTCTGAATGCTAAATATATTTTTAAGATATTTTTTTGAAACTTCTTTTAGTGCCCAGCATAAAATAACTTGGGTCCAAGTCAGCAGATAATTTATTTGACACTGAAGTTGTGAAGACTGACTTTTGTCATCTCTTTAGCATGCCAAATTGTGTAGATCATGTGAAGGTTCTGAGGTTGTGAGAAAGGAAGTTTTAGGGGCAGTTTCTGGAAAAGAAGGGTACTGTTTCTCTTGCTTCTAATGGTGTCTTCATCCCTGAATGAGAAAAAAAATGCATTTTAAAATCTTTCTGTCAATATGAGCCCACTGCCTGTGGTCTTTTAGAGCTAAATTTTTATCCTTATTAATGAGTGTTTTCATTGTGTTTGGTTTTGTGGATTGTGGCTTTCAATTACGGAGACAACAAATTACACCCTCTGGGGGAAAAAAAGCACAGTTTCATTCTTATCCATGCCAGGGGGATGAATGCAAGAAATGATAAGATTTGTGATCATAGCTTCAGGTTTTATGCAGGAAATCTTGTGTATGTCCATGCACACACATGCATGTAGAAAGAAATTCACTTACTATCTGTTTGGTATGAATATGGGTATAAGAATCTGTCTCTTCAGACTTAATCCCAGGTTAAAGCCTCATCTTTCTTCAAAGTTTCTTCAGATATTTTCACATGTTTTCCAGCCTAACTATCAAACTTTTTATGTCAGATAGGTATGGAAGTAATATATAGAATCCTACTTGCTAGCCAATTAAAAGAGAAATAAATGGTTTTTATCAATTTCTAAGTCACAGAGGAATTCCCAGGGAACAGTTTAGAGCTGAGCAGGCTACACTGGTTATTTAGTTAGTTAGTTAGTTAGTTAGGAATAGTTCCTTTCTGAATAATTCTAAGGAATGAGTTTCCTTTCTGTGTGGCCTTGAAAGGTATGTGACTGGATTAAACTGTGTAGAATTTATTAATATCAACAGACTTCTTGGATGCTGAATGCTGTTGATTTGCTATGTGTTAGTTTTTGATTTGTTTTAAAGCGCTTTTGAAAAGCTCTACAACAGAAAAGAGCACAAATCATAAGCGTGCAATTTGATTAATTTTTGCAAAATAAACAAACCCATGTAACCAATGTCCAGATGAAGAAGTAAAACATCACCTATTTACTTTTAAAATGTGGAAAGCTTCAGGTTTTAGTTTTTGGATTTAATAAGCAAGACAATGTGTAAAATCTGTAACATGCTATGCTGTCTTTAAATTGCTTGTGTAATTAATAATATATTCTATATTCAACATTTGTTGGAAGATCAGCTGTGGTACAATTAATCCCAAATCATTTTTGTTTCTTTTAGGACATATCATAGCACTTTACATAGAATTTTTTAAAGTGACCACATTTTTTCCCTAATTATGGTATGTTTAAGTGAGCATGAAAGTTAGCTTACACTTTTTTTTCTGTCAGTGAAGAAATCAATTTGGAATCTATGCATTGCAACCGCAGACCCACAGTGTAAATGGTACAGTAATAATCAGAAGTTGACCTGCTAAGCAAATATAAACTCGGATTTTGTGAGGAAGGTAGAACAAAGTGTCTGGAAATTCACTTCTACTCCCCTATCTCATTGAGTAGCTTCTCTCACCTGTGAGACAGAACAGATTTAGAAGCCGGATTCCAGGGCTCGGGTTCAGAGGGCAGGTCTTGCCCCACCCCAGCACCTAATAATGATTCTTAAAGTTAGAGAGATCTCATTCTATTTTTGCAGGTTGTTTTAAACTTCATAATCGGATCTTCAGATAAAATCATGTTTTATCAATTAAAAGCATTTCTCTCACATTCTGTCAAGCAAACATTAGAAACATTCTGGTTGGTATTTGCCATATCTCTTAGAGAACAGCAGAGATAATGGGTCTTAAAAGCGAAAACAGACAAACATAATTATATCTACCAGCCGACCACTTTAAAATGGAAACGATATGACGAGAAGTTAAACATATGAACAAGTTTGTAACTGCCAAGTAGAGTAAGCAGTTGGATAGTAAGGGGATGTCAATGACAGGAGGTTTACTGTGAGCCAAGCACACATTTACAGTGAAAACGGGTCTCTGAGAAAACTCAGAGCTACTCATATTGGTTCTCACTAGACGATCTCCATACTGGAAATGTGACTATCCAAAGAACAGTTTCTAAAGGTTTTTCTATCCACACATTCTGATTCTCTTTCAGATATATGAACCTTGGTTCGTTAATGTTATGGGCAGAATATGACACTTATCTCTTTGGTAAGAAATTCCCTAGTCAGCAAGGTTAATCAGAGTCTTTTATTAATCAGTGTAATGCACATTAAGTACTTTGTTTATGGCCCACAGCCGCAGGTTCTTTGGTTGACAGTCAGATTTTTAATTAACATGAATGATTTCTCTGAAAAACTCTATCTACTTTACTAAGTAGCAACTGCTTTCCAAATATCTTGAAGCTCTTATTTTCACTCTTTTAATGAATAATATTTTTATCACCTAATTCTCCTCTCTGCCAGAAATTCACTCTCCTGCTTCCTTATGGCTAGCCCAGGGTTCTTTTCCTTTCCTAGATGGTCAGACTTCTTTCTTTTAAATTTTACATTTCAAGCTTACTTTTTTTCCCCCTCTCCTGGGAGGACTCTGAGATTTATCCTGAAAATATTAGCTATTAAAAAATACGCAAGAATTGTGCTTCAGTCTGTAATCCTTCAGGACTGTGTAAATACGTGGACACAGCAGAGCAAATGTCTGCTAATCCAGCACGAGCAGCGTGTGTAACCTTTGGCTGTAATAACAGAGGCTTCTCGTGTGTGGGGTTCTTTGGACTCAGATAACATTATAGCTGATAACTGTGGCAGAGCCCAGGCTTAGCTGAAGGTTTACCAGTAATGTGTACATCCCCCCAAACACTGAAGCAGAATCAACCCCCTCTTCCAAAATATGGCCCAAATACTTTGCTTCTTACTGTACTTCCTGAGCCAGGGGGCTTTCTAGCCAGCTACTCAGACATATCTCTGGTTTCAGATTTAAATTAAACACACACACACACACTTAGGATTGGTCTGCATATTTTTGTAGGGACATTTCTTCTAAAATTCCTTTAGAACTTTTACCTACGCTTGGAGGTGGAGATCATGTAGCTTTCAGATCATTGATGGCTATTTAGAGATTTTTGGGGAGACTAGAGTTTGAGTTGACCTATATCAGTCCTAGTTATACAAACATGGGCACTTCCTGTACTTAATCTCTAAAAGATATTTATCCTCATTTGTAAGATAGAGGCTTTGTCAAGACCCTCTCTAAATCCCCTGCATTCTGATAACTACAATATTATGAAGGAGAAATTATATAAACAGATTATATGTCATGGTCTGGGGAAGGTAGAAAGTAACTGTAGATGCTATAAATCCACGTGAGCATGGCCTGCATTTGAGAGTTCTCTGTGGGATTTTTGCCTAGGAGAAAGAATCTGTGTTTCCTCCTCTTTTCCTCTCAGTTAAGCTCATCGCTCAAGCAGAGCTCAAGCAGAAGCCATCACTGCACATAGACTGCAGACCTGGATGAGAGCCGAGGAGTTTACGTTAGGGGAGCCAGTGCCTTCCTCACCTCTGGCCCCATCAAGGGCTTAGTTCCTGGGATTTACTTCCCCTATCCTGTCCTTTGGGCAGTCTGAGCACACAGTCAAAGGGCAAACTGGCCTCTGCAGAGGTGAGCAGAGGGTGCCCCTTTGAAAGACAAATGCTAAGAATAAGTCACATTCTGAGTTTGGAAGCCCTGGCACAATTCTCCTGTGGAAAGAAGCAAGAGTGTGAAAAATGAATCTGTCTGAATAGTTAACTGTATTTCTGTTATGCTGTGGCCATTGGTGGTTACCTTTTGGAGGACAGATTCTGATCTGCTGACAGACCAGCATTGACACAAGTGTGTTAATAGGCACCATATCACTGTGCGTTTTGACGGTGGCTTTACCTCCAGTTTGGTCCTCAGTGAAGATAGGTGTGTTGGAAAGGTCACTCCTGCTTGTTTCCACACTTAATACACAGTGACCTGTGGCTGAAGCCTCATTTTAAGGGCTTGAGTTATTCAGAAACAGCTCTCTGCAACCCCCTACCAAAGTTCTGCAGTGCAGCTTCAAAATAAACTGCAACAGACCCTGATCTGTATCCAACAATCTGCCCTATTCCTATCTCTCCACTCAGCTCACAAGGGGCACCAGCTAAGGGGTCTTGTTACCACCCACTATACACGTTCTCTGAGAAGTATGCTGTAGACGCAATTCCATTCAAGGGAGTCTGCTGAATTCCAGGACTTGGCTGTCTCTGAGCCCCATTTACCAGTTAATGATTATAAGAGATGCAGATAAAATTGACTGAAAGGCCAAGGATGACTGATTCATGTAATAAACAGGCAAGATGGATTCTCTAGGTGCTACTGGGAATTTAGGAAGAAGAAGAAAAAAAAAAAACCCAAGCAAATGTATTTCCATATCAGAGATGTGACATATTATAGACGAATTCAGGATCTTCTTTCCTTTCTCTTGATTTGTGAAGCAGGCTTGGCACTAACCCTATTCTGCTTCCACAAAGACAAAGACAGATGGAAACCCGGCATTGCAGATATCCTGAGTCCATTAGCTTGGACTGAGGCAGAGGACTTCTGGCTCTAGCAGGCTGAACAAGTGGCAGTTTTCTCATCTGGAAAATGAAAGGCTTGCACTGGATGATCTTCCCTCCAGCACTAACATTCTGTGTTTCTTTGATTTTACATCAAAATGGTGTTTTCTTAATCAGTCCTCTGCTGCTTCCTTTCTGAGATCATTTTTCTTCCCACTGCAGAAGCAGACATGAGTTTCCAATCAGTTGCTGCACAGAGCTGCCTAATCTTTGCCGCTAATCAGCAGGCAAAACACACTCCGGTTTTTAGATCTGGAACCAGCTTCTTTGCAAGAGAGTAGAAGAGGCTATCTGTACAAATAGCTTGTAGAGGAAATTTAAGTATTAAGATGACTAAGTGATTCATTCCTCATCAAAAGCAGGTTATATACCATATAGCTTAAACACTATGCTTAGCTAAATAGAAATGTATTTATGGACATATACACATATATTGTGTGTGCATATCTATTTATGCACACACACACAGAGGCACAGAGTTGATACTCCCCAGCCCAGACTGTGAAACTATTTTTCTCTTTCCGGGAAAACCCACATTACCAAATACCTTCCCTTTTTGGTGTCTAAAATCTGGAATTAGTATCTTAGAGTTTAATTCTGTTATATTGATACAGATTTCTACATAAATTCAGATAATCCTAAGAGGGTCACACTTTAAATAATTCTCAGTCTATTGGACTTTAATGTAAATTAACTTTGGATTTCTTTTTAAGGAGCAACTTTGGGTAAGGTGATAGTTGGGAGTAAGAGAAGGCAAAATGGCCCTAGAATTCTGAATGAGATGAAAAAGATTAAAATGTGTGTGTGTGTGTGTGTGTCTGTCTGTCTAGGTTGGAGTTCGGGCTGCAAAAAACCAAACTTCACGTTGGGAGCTTTCTTTTTCTCAAGGTTAATCAACATTGTACATGACTCTATAAATGGCTTCTTTAAACTAAATTGTTTCCCCCTCTGGACAGGGGCATAACAGTTAATTTTAATTTTATTTGTTTTTATAAATAGTAGTACATGCACAAGGTACTATAAAAGCTCAATGGGAACATTCAAGGACAAGTAAATTTATGTCCTTGTCCCCCAGCCTTCGTTCTTAGAGGCAACCAGTGCAACCAGTTTCTTGTTTTAGATGTTTACAGATATTTTCTCCTATGCTAGCTAGTGTGCACACTTCATCTCCCTGCTTCTTTCACTCAATAATGTATCTTGAGATTTTTCCATGTTGCTATACACAGAATTGCCCCCTTCTTTATAGTGACTGTATTGTGCTTTGTTTAAACAGTCTCTATTGTTGAAAATTGAGGTTGTTTCCAATCACTAGGCATTAAGAAGAATGCTGTAGTGCAGTGTATGCTGTTGTCCGTGGGCAGGTTGCCAGGATTCATAACTCCCTGGAACTTCATACTCTTCACAGAGTTCAGTGCAAGAGGCGTTCCTGGGAGTGGAGTATTACAGTGGCCCTTATATGACTTTTCACACATGAGTGATTATACATGTAGGAGGAACACCCAGAACTACATGGGTAGTGTTTTTCACTTAAACAAGAGAATTTTAATACCTGATCACCAGGCCCATCTTTAATGTGGCCATCATCTTCTGAGAGCCCTCCAGATGCTCATTTTTGGTCCCCAGTAGTTGTCACAGTATTTTAGACTTATTCTGACTTCATCTAATCAGTGAAGAACGCAACTTGAACTTTCCTCTTGTTCTGAGCACTATACATATATTTATGTAGCTTAAAATTGTACCAGCTTGTGGGTAGCTTCATCCCACTGTTGGCTCATTTTGAGATTACTATCAACTCAAATCCCTAGGTTTTTTCCTCAAATAAATTACCATTCAACCATAATCTGCTTACCTACTTCTTGTACAGTGGAATTCTTACAACCTAAAAGCAAACTTCAGATTTATCTGTGTTTAAATTTATTTTGTTGTTTCAGTTCTCGAATCTCTTTTAAGCTGCTGAGCTATGTCTCCATCTTCATCTTGCTGTTAAATATTTCGTCTTTATATACCTTTTTTCTAGTCCCCACTCTTAGTAGGCTTAATGCCTAGGCTCTGGATATTGACATTGAAAAAAAGTCTTATAAAGTTATTTTTTGTAGCTTGTCAAATGTAGAAATTGTTGAATACTTGAGAAAAAAGAGCTAGCTTAGTGTTTAGAAGTCAGAAATAAGAGGGGAAAAGGAAAGAGAGAGAGAATATTTCTATCAACAAATGGAAAAATGAATTTAAGATCTCAGTTCTAGGAACAACAATGTTCTCCTGACTAATTTGTATATAGCTTGTAGACATAGTTAATTGTGCAACACATCACGTTTTCCTGTTTATTGGCTACTAGGACGTTCAAAGGCAAATTTGCAATGTGTTTCTAGTGTACAGAACGCGATTTATATTTTGGGTGTCTGTCTAACCCTGGACCTCTTTTTATTTTCCTATCTTATTTTTTCTTTGCCTTTATTTTCTAGATCATTTGAAAAACCTTGTGTAAAATTTGTGACTTCCTGTAAATTCTTCTTTGATTCTTCTTCAGAAAGAGATATTGTATAAGCTGATAGGCAAATAAAATTTTGGTGTGACAAATTTTCCAAAGACATCAGATGAATTCACACCTTAGCTTGACAACAGCAACAACTATAGGGAAAAAGAATGGTGATGGCATTAAAATTATTAGCTTGTAACAGCTTTGGAATCATTCAAGACCAGGATTGGTAATTTTAAAAATTCTTTAATAAGAACTTCAAGAATTTAACTCACTGTGTAAAATAAAATACAATCACTTAAATGTCTCAAACTTAAGTGCCTTGGATAGCCAGGAAGGTAAAGTAAATGAAGGAACAATGCAGGAGGGAATAGTAGAGACAGTGAGAACTCTAGAGCCTCAGTCCCATTTAAGTACATCCAGATACACCATTGAACTAAAATTTGTAGATCCATCAGCCACTAGTTTACAACTTCCGAATCATCTCCCAATTTTATAAATGTGACCAGAAGTAAAATACTTTGTAAAAATCCTCACTAAACAGGAAGAAATCCTAGGCCAAGGAGTTAAACTTTCTTTCCCTTTGTTTTTCAGGTTATTGGTTGCCTAGTTACAAATTAAAGTCTTCCTGGGCCACAGGCCTGCATCTTTCTGTCTTGTTTGGTCATGTGGAATGTCTTCTGGTGCTGCTGGACCATGATGCTACGATCAACTGTAGACCCAACGGGAAAACCCCTCTTCATGTGGCTTGTGAAGTGGCCAACTTGGATTGTGTTAAGATCCTCTGTGACCGTGGAGCAAAGCTCAACTGCTACTCCTTAAGTGGACACACAGCTTTACACTTCTGTACAACTCCAAGTTCCATTCTCTGTGCCAAGCAACTGGTTTGGAGAGGTAAGCCTTTTCTGGATAGCTGACATTGGCATCTACTTGCACCATCATGGTTTTGAAAATTGGTGATCATTACTTACCTCAGGCAATGTAGTACATATCTCTATGCATTAAGCCTAATTCAGGGGACGCTAAAAATACATAGATAGGTAGATAGTTATATTGGTCCAGATCATTCAGTGATGATTACATTGGAATCATATTATTTTTTTAATTGTAGGAAACTCATTAATTTACAATTATTGATTAGCTCCTATGATGTCAGGTAATGTGCTAAGTAAGTAAAAAAAAAGATAGCTTCTGTCCTCTAGGAGCTTATATTCTAGTAGGGGAGATGAATACTGACAAAATAAATTCGTAAATATATAATTGTAAATTGAGAAAGCAAAACAAGGCACTATGAAAGAGAATGTCAGGGGGAGGGTACAGCTGAGTGGTTTTTAGCAAGTGTGTGTTTTTAGCAAGAGTCCTGGGTTCAACCCCCAGTATCTCCAGTTAAATAAATAAATAAACCTAATTTCCACCCACCCCCCCAAAAGAGAATGTCAGGAGTAAACTATTAAAAAATGTGTAAAGACTTCTCTAAAGATATGATATGTAAGCTGAAACTTTATGAGAAGGAGCTGGCCATTAAAAACAGGAGCCAAGAAGAAAAGTGTAAGTACAGGGAACAGCATATGCAGAGTTGCTAGGAGAGCAGAAAACCTTGCAATATTCAACAGCAGGAAGAGGCCAGTATAGCTAGAGTATCATGGGTGGGTGGTGGGGTGGGAGGGACAAGAGGGTAGAGGGGAGTCCACAGGGTGACATTGGATGTGTTAAATCATATGTGGCCTGCTGGGGGCTAGGGTATGAGGTTTAGAAATGGAGCTACTGAAAAGTTTTAAGCAAGGCAGTGACAGACTTTAATTGTCACTTAAAATCATCAGTCTGGAGCTCTGAAGTTGAGTTGGATGAGACCAAGAGTGGAAGCCGGGAGACCAGCAGGGAAGCTAGCAATGGTGTGTAGGTGAGTGAGGACGTTGATGGGCACTAAGGGGCAGGCTTGGGTAGGAAGATTAGAAAATGGGTTTGCAATATGTTTTAGAAGCAGAATTGGTGGGATTTGGAGATGGGTTAGATATAGGTTGGAGGGGGATGTGACAGAAAATGAAGTTTCAAGAATCATTGCCAGGTTTCGTGCTTTAGAAAATGGGTGGATGGTGATGCCATTGTTCACAACGGGGAAACCTGAGGAAGAAGCACGATCTGGGGAAGACCGTTACAACGTTTTTAAAATCCATGTTTACAGAGGTATTATTTACACACTGTAAATTCACTGATTTTGGAAAAACATAGTCGTGAAACCATTCACCACAATCATCTCAAAAAATTCCCTGATGCCCTTGGTAGTTAACTTCTCTCACTTCACCTTCATCCCTGGCAACTGGTGGTTTGTTTTCTGTCCGTATAGTTTCATCTTTTTCAGAATGTCATATAAATTAAACTATACAACTTATAACCTTTAAAAAAATTTTCATAGTTGAAGTATAGTTGATTTACAATGTTATGTTAGTTTCACTTATACAGCAAAGTGATTCAGTTATACATATATATATATATATACACATATATAGATATTATTTTCAGATTCTTTTCCATTATAGGTATTACAGAATATTGAATATAGTTCCCTGTGCTCTACAATAGGCCCTTGCTGTTTATCTATTTTATGTATAATAGTATGTATATGTTAATCTCAAACTCCTAATCTATCCCACCCTGCCCCCTTTCCCCTTTGGTAACCATAGTTTGTTTTCTATGTCTGTGAGTCTACTTCTGGTTTGTAAATAAGTTCATTTTATCATTTTTTTTTGATTCTACAAATAAGTAATATCATATGGTATTTGTCTTTCTCTGTCTGACTTATTTCACTTAGTATGATAATCTCTAGGTCCATCCTTGTTGCTGCAAATGGTATTATTTCATTCTTATTTTATGGCTGAGTGATATTCATTATATGTATATATATATATATACCATATCTTCTTTATCCAGTCATCGGTTTATGGACATTTAGGTTACAACCTGTAACCTTTTGAGTCTGGTTATCCAGCTTAGCATAACGAATTTGAGATTCATTAATGTGCTTGCACTCACTAGTAGACCTTTTTATTGCTGAATAGTGTTTCTTGTATAGATGTAACACAGTTTATTCACTTCCTAGTAGAGGGGCTTTTGGAAAGCTTCTGGTTTGGGGCAGTTTTGAAAAAAAGCTGATATAAACATTTGCAAACAGGTTCTTGTGTAGACATGTTTCATTTCACTGGGATAAGCACCTAAGAGTGTGAAGATGAGTTATATGGAAAGTTTATAAGAAACTGACAAACTGTTTTCCAAAGTGGTTGTTTTTGCATTCCCACCAGCAGTATATACAAGTTCCAGTTGCTCTCCATTCTTGTCAGAACTTTGTAATGTCAGATTTTAAAAATATTTTATCCATTCTAATAAGTATATAATAGCAACTCATTATGATTTTAATTTTAATTCCCCTGATGACCAAAGGCATTGAGTATGTTTTCATGTATTTATCTTCCAGCTATGTATTCACTTTGGTGAAATATCTGTTCATATCTTTTTCTTCTTTTTTTAACAGGCTGTTTGTTTTCTTATTGATTTGTGGGAGTTCTTTATATATTTTGGATCCTAGCTCGCTATCAAATATATGTTTTGAAAATATTTTAATTCATTCTTTCACTTTCCAATTTTCTAATGGTGTCTTTAAAAGAGCAGAAGTATTTAATTTTGATGAATTCAGTTTGTCAGTTTTTATGGTTTGTGCTTTTTGTATTCTAGCTAAGAAATGTTTGACTAACCCAAGTAACAAAGATCCCAAGTAACAAAAATCTTCTCCTATGTTTTATTCTAGAAGTTTTATTATTTCAGGCTTTACTTTTAGGTCTTTGATTCATTTTGAGGGTTTTTTTTTTTCGCATATGGTGTGAGATATGGGTTGAGGTTAATCTTTTTTTTTATGTGTATAGATGGCCAATTGTTTCAACATCATTTGTTGAAAAGACTATTCTTTCACCATTCAATTATTTTGATATTTTTTGTCAAAAATCAATTTGCCAAGGGAGAGGGTATAGCTCAGTAGTAGAGAGCATGCTTAGCATGCATGAGGTCCTGGATTCAATCCCCAGTACCTCCATTAAAAATAAATAAATAAAACTAATTACCTCCCCCACCCCAAAAAAATCAATTGGCCAAATATGTATGAATTCATTGATCTATATATCTATTATTTTGCTTATCCTCCACTGACCTGATTGCTGTAGCTTTATATCAAGTCTCAAAAGCACACAGAGCAAGTCCTTCTAGGTTAGTTTTAAATATGAGAGGTTTCAGACCTTTTTGAGATGTCCGAGTGAATATGTCAAGGATGAACTTGATATAAAAGTATAGATTTCAGAAAACATTTCTGGACTAAAGCAGTAAGATTAGGGATCTTTGACTTAGAGGTTGTATTTGAAGCCAAGGAAATCAATGAAATCACTTGGATAAACAGTGTGGAGAGAGGAAAGAGAACTTACGACCAAGCTCTGACAAATTCTTACATTTAGATGTTGGCAGGATGGAGAGGAGCCAATAAAAAAGAGTGAAATGGATTGATAAATAAAGTGGGAGAAAACCCAAGAGCATATTTGGCATCAGAGAAACTAAGAAAAAGACAGGTTCAAGAATTGGGGAGTGGCCAGCTGTATTGATAGCTACTGAGAGGTTTATTTAGATGTTCATTAGATTAAGTGACAGAGTTAACAATGACAAAAATAGTTTTAGTTAAATGGTGGGTGCAGAGCCAGGTTAGAAGGTGTGAATGGGAAGTTAGAAACTCAAAATGCCCTATGCTGACAAAATCGTTGAAAGAAGTTTGGCTGTAAATATGAGCATAAGAATGGCATGATTGCTGAAGTGGGTGGAGGAGTGTCATAGAGAGTATTATCGATAGCTGAAGATAAAAGGAAAGATTTGTACGCTGAAAGAAATGATTTATAGAAAGCAAACAGCTGAAGACGCATGAGTTAGGATCATTGAAGATCCAAATCTTAGAGAACTTGAGATGGGATGAAATTCAGAGACCATGAAACACATCCTCATTTTAAATAACTGGGCCAAAGCAAAAGATGGCCTTAAGGCCAGAGCATTTGTAGATTTCGTTGTGGTAAGATGGGGGAGTCCGTATCTGATGATTTTCCCCCTTCAGTAACATGAGGCAAAGTCATCAGCCAAAACAAGAGTGGGAAGGGTAGAAATTGGATGAGAGAGAGGGGAAGATATGGAAAGGTCCTGGGGAAAGAATGGGAGAATCTGCTTGAAAATGCCATAGCCTTTTCAACCTGTGAGAATTAAGCGCGAGGGAAAGATCAGCCTGGCTTATTCTCTTCACCTGCCCTGGGAGGAAGGGTCTGGTGCAGAGACACAGGAAGAAGGATGGGCATCTTCGCTTGTCCACCTACCTTTCCGTGTGTGGCCACCATCGCCTTTCACACTTACTTATACATTTATTTTCAGATTTAATTTTTATTTGTATATATATTTTAATTAGGTAATTTAAACTTTTAATCTATTTTTAAAATTTTTAAAAACTTAAGAAATGATATATTTGTTTCATTATTGACTTTTAATATCACTGCCTTTCCGTGTGACTTTGTCAGCCACAGACAGACAGTGAGCTGCCAGCCCTGTCTCTCCTGAGAGGTGTTACCAAATGGCTTTCCCAGAGGACAAGGTTATTCCCCAGGTCCTTTATTCCCATCAGAGGATGGAGGGAGATCTGTCTGGAGATGGAAGGAGTAATGAGGTAGGGGAGATGGAGCAAGGCTTCCTGTGGGCTGACACAAAGAACTAGACTGATAACAATCAAGAAAAAAGAGTGGAAGGATGTCCATTAAAGATAACTTCCTTTTCAGCACTATGGCATCAAAGGCTGAAGCCATAACAAGAAAGATAAATAAGGGAAAACA